GAGAGAGAGAGAGAGAGAGAGAGAGAGAGAGAGAGAGAGAGAGAGAGAGAGAGACCATCAAGTACAAAAAAAAGGCAAGTGCTTCCCTCACTGTTCCACCCACCATTACAAATTTGCAATGACGGGACTGTCTGTCATCAGGATTCTAAGCACTACAGGTAATTTACAACAACGACACTAAACTGCACGAATGGCGATCTACCATGCATGACCCGCAACAACGGACAGCGATCGACCAACGAAGCCTCGCCATGTCTACGACGGCGCACCTACCAACACGACTGCAACGGGAAAGCAACCAACAACTCGCCCCCGCCATAAATGGACTCCACAATTGCACAACACACTTCCTAGCTGCTCGGCCGCTGACGAATGGCCTTCGCTATTTCCAGCAATGCGTGGCACATAGTGCTTCCTTTGCACTTCCACCTCCGCTTCCAACGCCTCGCACTGCCGGACCTGGATAGAGCATTGCCGCTTGCTCGCACTCTCCATCGTCGACGCCATCAGCTCCCCGTGTTTCTCCATGCATTCCGTCAGCGCCTTGAAAGTCTGTTGCCTCGTGTTCTTCCTTTTCCCAGAACCGCCGGGGGTGCCCGTCGTCTGCGAAGAGCCTCGCGTCGACCCCTCCTCGTCGTCTTCTCGCCCTGCACCACCTTCCCCGTCCGCCACCGAGTCAAGATCCACGTAAGACGTCAAAGGCGGGCGCACGCCGCCAGACGCACCGGTGTCTGCCAAGTTCCTCGGGTGGATGGTGTGGTTCATCCCAGTCGACCCCTCTATCTCGTCATAAACTGCGCGATCCATCGTTAAATTGAAGCCCCTGCTCGCCCTCTCCTTCGTCGTCAACTGGAAAAAGTCGGCACCCCCTGATGGTGATTGAAAGTGATGGACTTTCTTGAACGGCTGCATTAGATTGTCCCACTTCTTCCCGCATTTCTCCGCATTCCTGTACAAGCCGACGTTCTTCAACCCTTGGGCGACGTCTTGCCATTTCCATTCCCGCGGTTTCATTCGTGCGTATGCGTGCCCCATCCCCCGCATATGCGCATCTTGGTCACGTTTAGCCCTTATGAGGGCTATAATGTGTTCCACGGACCAGAAGTTGCGCTTCTCCTCCGCATCACCGTCGCCTTCGCCACCGCTCCCCTTTCCCTGCCCTTTTTTCGCCCGCGAATGAGCATTGCGGCCGGAAGGCTTGGACTTCCCACCTTTACCAGCCATGTCGGTCTGCAACGATGGCGACGCTTGACCACCCCCCCCTTCCCCACACTCTACGTCGTTGCCTTCGTCGTCGTCGTCTGCTTCCGCCGGTGGATCGTCCGTCTCGTTCTCGTTCTCCCGGTCTCCCACGTTAAGATGCTCCACCCCCCGTGTGATGTATTCCTCTCGCCGCAGCCGGTGATCCCGCGGCAGGTCCCTCCACACCTCCCTCCCGTCGCGACCATCACCAACATCCAAGAAGTCGGTCCCGCCATCGACTCCGATGCCACGGCCTCGTGCCACTTCCGACGCCGCAGACAGGGGAGATGGCAACTGCATCCACTCCGGCCGACCCGGGGCGCCCTTGGACAGAGAGGCCGCCCGTGGTTGGGCCGTCGACGAGTTCCGGTTCGCTCCCACCGTCTCACTCGCCAACGCCCTCGTCCTCGCTGATCGATCAACAACTGTCAGTTGCCCGCCTTCGTCGCCGGGGTGGGGTCGCACGAGCACTGTGCGTGATGGAGTTGTAGACCGCCCGGTGGACAAACCGAACGACATGTTGACGCGGCCATCTCCTTCGTCTTCGCCAAGGCCAGGCCGAAGGAGTTCAGTGAACGACTGCTCGTACACGCCGCCGCCCGTCCCGCACAGCTCCGTGGCTGACCACTCCTGCGTTGATCCGCTGCCCAACGACACGGTTTGTGGCCGTCTCTCCACCTCCTCCTCCTCGTCCGATGAGCCGGGGAGTGGTTGCAAGTGCGGTGGCAATGCATCACACCCAACCCGCTGGGAGGCCCTGCCAATGGTTGACAGGCTCCCGCCGCACCGCCTCCCTCCAACCTGCTCCCCACCGCACCGGGGGATCGCCTGCCGTGCCTCCATCCTGGCGTCCTTCATCGAAGACCTTGTTTTGCGTCGACGCGGCGGCACGTTCCCAAGGATGCACACGCGGAAGAGAACCACGAGGAGCAGCAACAGGACAACGAGGAGCAGCAGCGGCAGCCTGCGGAACACGTCAGCCATGAAACAGTCGACGACGACGGCAGCAAAAGGAAGACAACGCGGGCGCCAACATAACAGCGGAGCGCAGTGCTACAAACGGCCGTCCCGACTTCGCAACAAACCCCCGAGGACGTCTTCGGTCTCCCACGGTCAGTGCGTAATTGGGAGCTGGAGTGCGGCCTTAAAAATTCGTATCTGGCGACCGTTGGGACATTCCCGCGGATTGCCATAGGCGACGACGCAAGACGGTACCTTCTGGACGTCGGGGATGCCGGTTGGCCGCAAACGGTAACCGTTGGAGTGAAGCCGAACGTTGCCGACCCAATATGTCCGTGGAGACGCAGCAGGACCACCGATGGACCAGACGGAATTGAAAAATGTCGTCGAAGGAGCTGCCGTCGACGCCCCGATTGACGCCCCGATTCTTCCGGAAGCTCTACCTTCGAGGGACCTCGGGAGGTTTCTTGGAGAAATCGCCAAAATGGCTGTGGCCCCGGAAGCTCTACCTTCGAGGGACCTCGGGAGGTTTCTTGGAGAAATCGCCAAAATGGCTGTGGCCCCGAGGAATCCCCGAGGAAATGTTTTCACATTTTCTTTTCCGCGTCTTCCCCGAGGATGAGTGGAACGACCATTTCCTTGGGGAATTTCGGGCCCTGAGGAGTGTCGAACGAGGCCCTTTGTATGCTAGGACTTTTTTTTCCTGTTGGTCGCTTTCGTAAGTTTGTCTTACGACAACTACAACAACAGATTCGACAGGTAATTGAATTACAGGTGCTTTGAAAAAAATAATAAAAAAAAATTGCAGGTGCCACCCGGTCAATCTGCACAGAAATCATTGAAGAACGGTATTTCTGCAGCTTTACCGGTATAATTAAATATGGCCCTCGCTCCACGACTCTCGACGTGCACAAACGACCAAAATCATGGCCGTTGTGTACATTCCGAGAGTAGTGGAGCGAGGGAGGCCCTATGCCAGCACATACTTGCGTGGACTGGTGAAGTTGTTGCCACGATACGCTTGCAAACCGGTATTTCCGCAATTTGACCGTTAATAAATTAAAATTAACACTCTTTTTTTCTGGAGGCAGAACATCTTGCACTTTGCATTTCCAATAAAGAAAAACGACTCTTCCAAGTTCCAAGGGTCGAGAGGCGGATTGGCCAGAAATGCAGAGGGAACTTACAGGCCACATTAATAAGGGCCATACTCACACAAGCACTTTCATCAATGTAGCTGACAGCAGTTACAGCCAGTGGCGGACGCATCCGACCGGAATCACGTCTAGAGCTCAGCGAAAAAATTCCTAGGGTGTGTATGCCCTAACGAGCATAAAAATGGAGCGTGCTTTGGGAGATCCATTAAAATTGGAACGATACAGAGAAAAGGAGATCAGCATAGACCCTGCGCAACGATGACACGCATAAATCGAGAGATGCTAAAAAAAAAAAAAAAAAAAAAAAAGGAGCAAAATCGCATGCTCTGCCAGCTGGCAAGGAGTACACATGGCAGCACATCCGAGAGCAGAACATGACGACGTGACCGCACACGGCCATCAAGATGACTAACCACTGTCTTCACCCGAATAGAACGCCCGGTCTCTAAAACTGTACTTTTGGCAACTTTCAGTCCAGATACAGGGATCATAACCTGGCATTCTATGCTGGTGAAGAACGTGCTCATTGTGATCTTCGGACTTGTCACATTGAAATCGATTACAGTGAAAAAAAATAAAATGAGGGGGGGACAATAAAAAGCAGGAAAAGAACTATAATTCCACAAGTGAAATCAATAACGAAGAAATAATTTAACCATATTAGGTGAATGATAGTTCTGTAGTAGTATCAAAATTTTTATTCAAAAAAATAAGAATAAAAAAAAATCTTATTATATTATATAATTAAAGTAAGAAAAAGCCACCCAAAGATACTCTTCGATTTCACACGCTTCGCTACTCTGCCGGCAGCGAAATCACAGGGAACATAGGGTCTGACCCCACTAATCGCCATACGTGAAGAAGCCAAAAATGTTGCGCGTGTATCGTTCCGTGTTCTTGCGGAAGATTCATTCTCATTTCGCACATTTCGTGAGTAGTCCGGCGACGCCCATGTTATACAAGTAACCCATCCATCAGACTCATCGAAGGATAATTTAAATTACAATCAAATATTTCACCTGTAATCGAATACACAAAAAAAATGAAGTGATGTATGGGGGTACTTGTATAACATGGCGGCCTAATGACCCCATCCATCAAATTTGTCCCCCAACGACCCGGGAGCAAATTCGCCAGGAACGTGTAATACAACGAGTCCATCTATAGAAATAATTTAAAACTTTAAATTCTTTAATTGAATAACTTAACCTAGAAAAGGCTAGAATTCAATTTCTCGACTGTAGTTTAATACAAAAAAAAAGACGCGATGTGAAGTAAGAATAACAAGTTAAAAAAAAAAAAAAAAAAAAACGAATTCCTCTCAGAATATAAAAAACATCTTTTAAGGGCGAACCTAACGCGATGCATACTCACACCAGGACATTGACAACGCAGCTGGTCGCGATTGCCGCCAGATACGTCCGGCAAGTCCTACAGCTGGTATACCCTAGTCGGGAAATTGCTCTCCTTTTTCGACGTGTCCCCTCAAAATAGTCCGCTCGCCTAATTACGCCTAACTTAAATCTATTTGAATATCACTGACAAAATTTATTATTTACCAGTCTAAAAATAGTCCGCTTTCCTAGTTCCGTCTCACCGATTTTAGGACGTCGTCAACAAGATTAGACAGTCTACGTTTCTTGCTTTGCCATTCGTCGTGACTAAACGTTTCCCCAATGACCTCTTCCTCTTCAAGACAATAATTTCTCGGATTTGATAGATCTCCTAATGAGATATTATATTTTCCAGTTAGTTATATTCCTTCATTAATTTCATTTCCTGATTAATTGTTTTTGTTTCCTAAAGCAATTATTCTCTTTCTAATTGACGGAGAACTCGTGTACTCTGAGTCACTTGGGCCGAGGTCCCACTAGCAAAGGGGATCGGATCGAATGCGTGAATCTGGATGTGTGTTATGCAGAGATGCAGAAATGCAGGTCAATCTCGATTTCCTGCACCTCTCTACAAACACGTCCAGATTCAGGCATTCGATCCGATCCTCTTTGCTAGTGGGACCACGCCCTTGTTGGTTAAGAGATGACGAATAAGGACTCGGGCCTACAACACCTCCATATACTCTCTCTCTCTCTCTCTCTCTCTCTCTCTCTCTCTCTCGTCCTATGTATATACAACGGGCGCGTATCGCTTAGTTGCTTGTCTCTCTCGTGCACAAGCGCACACACACACAGACTCACGCAGACAAGACAGATACGCATTTGCCCTCCAACCCTCCCACCTTCCCACCCTCCCACTCTCCCACCTTGCC